GGGTTTTGTATCCGTGCTGCTCCTAGACCTCCTTCTGAGGCATCATGTTGCAGCGCTAGCTATTCCATGGGGTTTTAGTACTTTAGGACTGGTGGCTTACTTTACTCTTTCAAATGCCTGTGTCACACTGTCTGGAGTGGTTCACAACCATGTGTGCCAACCTCAGGGCAGACTGTCAAGAAGCAGGACCGAGATGCCAAACTGGTTGGATGTTCTATAATTAGATTTCACAAACCCACTAACAAATGTGAATTCCTAAATCTCTGTTAACAGTCTTACCATGGAGTCAGAGGCAGTCCTCTTAGACATTCCGATCTATCTTGCCACCAAGGCAAACTGGATTATGTGGCAGATGGTTGCTATACCCCACAGATTACAAAATATTCAGGTTGTGCCCAGTCCCGAGAGACCAGTCACTTACCCCAGGTCAATTTGTACTTTAGATCTTTAGATCTTTCAGTAAAGACAAACACCAATCTTAGTAATTAACTAAAGAAGTATTAACTAAGAAGAGAAATGAGAGGTTAAAGCCAGGGTTGTGAGTTCAATCCTTGAGGGGGCCACTTGGGGATCTGGGGCAAAATCAGTACTTAGTCCTGCTAGTGAAGGCAGGGGGCTGGACTCAATGACCTTTCAAGGTCCCTTCCAGTTCTAGGAGATGGGATATCTCCATTAAAAAAAATACTTTTTTCCTTCTTCCGGAATTCAAGCTGATAGGATGAGCCCTTTTGCATGTAGCCTCTTCATGGGTGTGCAGAGGCAATTAGCAAAGTCTTTGTACTCTGATGTCTCACACTGGCTCATTTAGTTTCAGGATAGCCCCTCCTGTTGGGCAAGAGATAAAACCTTTCATAGGGATTTAGCATTTTGCACTAGGTAACTTTTTTTTCTTGTTTGGTGAGTTAGAATTTCAGAACAAACATTTTACAACTGTATAGCAAATACTTAAGTATTTCCTTACAGCATGGAAAACAGACATTATAAGTAGGATTAATACATTCAGCAACTTACAAGCATTTTATAAAGGCTAAACACATGTTATAAGTCTAATATCCATCTTAACCATATTAACACACAGGTGAGCTGGTCTGGTTTCCAATAAGGAATTTCTCAATGCTCAGCTGAGGGCTAAAGCCTTGGCAAGAACTGGCCCCTGGTTTGCCAGCATCACAGCCTGAATTTGGGTCTCTGATCATTCCCAGGGTGCATCATTATATGTTAATGGTCTCAGAGGATCAAAAGGCTTCTAACAGGTTGGAACAGAATCTGGAAAAATCATTGGCCATCCCTATAAAGTGCTGGACTCCCTTTGGTCTGAGCATTTCCTTAGTGGCATTCAAAACATCTCTCTGTGTGCCACCAAATCCCTCAGAAGTCAAATTCCTGGAGTAGAGAATCTCAGTTCTTCTCATTTTCAGCCTGTCTGTATTCAGCCTAATATTGCGCTCCTGGCACCTGTTGCCATAGCTTAGCATCGAGGATTTGGATTGCCTCTTCCTTGATATCTCCTTCCTCTGCAATACGAATGTTGTCAACTATATTCTTGAGGTGCCCAGTTCAATTTACAGTGGAACACTTCTGGGGCCAAGCTGATGCCCATAAGCTTTTGTACCCACAGCACCTGCCAAAAAGTGTGACACAGGTTGTCAGGTGGCTGGATGGCTCATCTAGCTCAGTACACCAGAACCCATTCTTGACATTTGCCCTGGTTACATCACATAGGATGTCCTTGGTCATTGGCAATGGCTAGTGACTTGTTTTCAATGGTTTGGGGGCCATGCAGATCCTCAGTTTACCTGTTGGTTTTCTCAACATGACTAGGTGGCTTATCCACTTTGTGCTAGTTTCTATGGGTGTAATGATGCCTGTTCTTTGCAGGTTTGTCAGATCCTGGCTGGCAACCTTTCTGCTGTTCTGACTACCTGCATGCTGCATGTTTCCTCTCTTTCTAGGTGCTGCTTTTTAGGCCTGTTAATCACACACTCTTCCTTATTGTCTCTTTCTAGACTGACCATTGCCACCATGTTTCATGTACCAGGTGCAGGGCAATAAGATGAGAAGACTCCATGATGCTAAAACTAAACTGCTCTTTTTGAAGAGAGCAGTGGTGTTTACCACACACAGGTGATGAAATGGTTAATCTGGGCCTGAGAGATCAATACACACAGGTGATGGCACTTGGAATGCAGGCCAGGACCAGTTAAAGATGAGTCTCAGCTGGTGGAGGATGTGGGTGCTTTTTATAAAGGGAGGAAGCCCAGAGTAGAAAAGGGCTTTAGGAAGAAAGAAAAAGGGGAAGAAACCTGTAGTCTGGATAGTAGAGCATGGAGGAAGTTCAGGAGGGAGTTGGATAGAAGGGGAGCAGGTTGAAGGGGAATCTTGAAGTGGGCCTGAGAGAAGGCCACCCCACAGGCAGAAGTCCTTGGGAGGGACTGGAGTTGAGGATCCAAACAGGGCAAGACTTAAGGAGGGTAGTCCCCAAAAGTCAGCACTCTGCAGAAGAATGGAGAGCTGGGGTGGGAGGGTGGTGAACACAGGGTGGTTTAAAAGTTCAAGGCAGGAAAAGGGCCTGACGCTGCTTTCCCTGAAATCTGTGGTTTGCTTTTGAGTTGGATTAACAAACTCCAGTGAGAAGCTCTGGGACTGCTAGTCTGATAGAAGAGTAGAGTGGAAGTGGAGTCTGGGAGGGGAGGAAGATGGCAGATCAATGACCAGTATTGTGTAGGGCACTGAAACCCTGGCAGGAGAGAGACTCTAAAGAGACCTGGCAGGAAGGCCAAGTCATGAGAAAAGATGCTACCCCAAGGCTGTAGCAGCTGTCAGCAAGGGGTGCTACATGATGAGCTGCTACACAACACCCAGCCACAAGGGTGCACCTGCGGTGAGTGCAACTTTTACACAATGCTGCAACTGCAGCAACATTTCCAGCCATGTGCACACAGACTGGCTTGCTGCTGCTGGCTCCAAACTCTTCCCTCCCGGTTCCATGCGGATTGCTACAAGCCCTAATTTATGGACAGGAGGCTACTTCCTTGTTTCTCACCTCATATACGAGAAACGCTCAGTACCTTGTAGATTAGAGCTTCTTTCTTTTAATCATTTCTCAGGGAACATAATTTATCTAAACACTGGTCTAGGTAGATTATATTGGTATATTACAGAAACAATGTTTTAAGACTAAACATTTATGGTTAGGAACCAAGGGAGTATAAAACTGAAAAATGAAACTGAGTAGAATTGCCAAAATATCAATCTGTATTATTTGTACTCACTTGTCCACTTAAGAATGATTAGAAGAAGATGTATGTTACGGCCAAGGAGTGCATCCGTATTCAGAACAGCACTTAAACAAATGCTAAGCACATGCTTGAGTCCCATTGCAATCAGTGGGACATATGTGCATGGCCAAGTACAGTCTGGAACAGGGGTCTATGAACTGTCTATCCTCATGTGACCACTAGTAGTATGTTATACACTTGCTGCTTCTGTCTTACGTGAATGCACACAGGTATGTCTTCAACTTCTGTTTGGCTTATTTCCCTACTACTGAAAATGAAAAAAATATGTTGTGATTTATTGAGTGCTTGACTTGACAGCTGTATAGATGCATTGCAATTGTGCAAATTAAAAGGTCAAAAGCAAAATACATCTATAATACTTCCCCAAAGAAAAGCCATAAAATTACGATCTCGAGAACTCTGCAGAAAGACAGTTATTTTCCCCAGTTGCCCTTTTGGAAGACAATTGGTTAATTACAATTTAGATTTTTGACAAGTCTACAAAATTTTCTAATTTCATGTTAAACTCTAAACAACTGACAGGAAATTGCTACATGAAATTTGGAAGATCACAAGTTTCCTGTTACAATAGTCTCACAGTTGGTGGCAAACAACTGGACTTAGTCAAATTATAACCAATTAAATGATTTTAAAAACTGCTAATGCAACTGTGACGCTCCCCAGGGGTACCCAGGTTCTGAGGCACCTCACCACCACCTGCCCTTAGTCTGAAGCAGCCATGTCTGTGCCTGCTGTGGATCAGCTCCCTGAAACCAACAGCCTCTGGCTATACAAGCACTGCCCTCCAGAATCCCTCAGGCCTTGTTCTCTCTGCACAAGTAGTGACGGACACACATCAACCCTCAAGTCCTCAGAGCGTTCCCTGCAGTGTCCAGTCCCTGATCCACTGAACACTCACAGAATTACCGGGCCTGCCGTTCCCAAAGAAACATTACACACTAGCTTGTGTGACAGACCCAGACCAGTGGGGTACAGGAGTCTGGTAGAGGGCGAATATACTGGTCACTGGATGAGTAGTTTTTTGTTCCCTGAGCGACCAGAGCAGGGGCTGCACTAGAGTAATCAGGAACCTGCTAGAACCAGTTAAGGCAGGCTAATTAGGATACCTGGAGTCAATTAAGAAGAAGCTGCTAGAATCAATTAAGGCAGGCTAATCAGGGCACCTGGGCTTTAAAAAGGAACTCACTTCAGATTGTGGTGTGAGTGTGAGGAGCTGGGAGCAAGAGGTGCAAGGAGCTGAGAGTGAGAGGGTGGGCTGCTGGAGGACTGAGGAGCACAAATGTTATCAGACACCAGGAGGAAGGTCCTGTGGTGAGACTAAGGAAGGTGTTTGGAGGAGGCCATGGGGAAGTAGCCCAGGGAGTTGTAGCTGTCATGTAGCTGTTACAGGAGGCACTATAGACAGCTGCAATCCACAGGGCCCTGGGCTGGAACCCGGAGTAGAGGTCAGGCCGGGGTTCCCCCCAAACCTCCCAATTGACCTGGAGTGTGGGTTCTTCCAGAGGG